GGGGCTTCGCTCCTGGATGAGTAACCCTTTGTAGAAGCTGAGTCACTGCCTTTGCAGGTATAGACTGGTCTGACTGCCTGACCTGAAGGGTTAGACTCTGACCTCAGTCATTACTGCTTTTTCAGTAGGCTTGCGCTAGGAACTGAGTGGGAGGACCTTGGATGGTCCAGGAACTTAATCATGAACTAAGTTTTGTGACCTTTCCTGTGGAGATGTAACCCAGAGTCTATCCCTCACACAATGCGCTGACAACAGACCAAAGGTAATTCCACCAAGTCCAGTTTAGTGATACAGTTTATTGGGTTATTTATGGTGTAGGTCTCAGGGTTACTTAGATCATGGATGACTCAAAAGCAGCTGCATCTTCTAAAACCCACCCAGCATGTGGGATGACTCTCCTAGGCCACATCTTTGAAATTCGCTGCAAGGTCCCAATACCAGATGTGTCTCACTAGCAAATGCTGACTACTTCTGTTTCTTTAGGGAGGGGAGGGCATATAAATCTCCGGAAGTTCAGGGCCTTCCTAGGCTTTGTAAGTTTCATTTATTTTCTGAGTCTGTATGTTTCCTTTACTTATTAGAGCTTGTGTGCCTCTGGCTTCTCTCCTCCCTCTAGAGAGAACAGCTACACAGTAAGTACTCAGTTCCAGAAGAATAAAAAGAAATTTGGGTTTTGTTTTGGTTTTGTTTTTAGACTTTGTGTAGCCCTGACTTTCCTGGAACTCATTTTGTAGACTAGGCTGCCCCAAACTCAGAGGTCTGCCTGCCTCTGCCTCCCAAGTGCTAGGACCAAAGGCGTGTGGTGGCACCACCTGGTGTGAGAGTTTTAACAAGAGAAGTAGGCATCAATGCATTAATTATTTCTCTGCTTTCTCCTGGTTCTTTTTGTTATTTTATGTGTATGGGTTTTTTGCCCATGTGCATGTGTACCACATGAGTGCAGTCCCCTGGAGACCAGAAGAGGGTATTGAATTTCTTGGGACTTGAGCTCCAGTTGTGAGCAGCCATAAGTACCCTGGGAATCGAACCCTGTTTCCCTGGAAAATAAGCCAGTTCTCCCAACCACTGAGCCATTGTTCCAGGCCCTCTTTCTGCTCTGGATCTGTTACTTTGACTGGCTGCTTCACGTTCCTGCCTTGATTTCCCATGATGGGCTCTAACCTGGAACTTCGAGTCAAATAAGCCCTCTCTCCCTTAAAGTGCTTTTGTCAGGGTATTTACCACACCAGCAGAAATGAAACCAGGACACCAACACAACTCCTTAAACATTATGTACACCACAGTAATGGCATCTAGCGAGAGTGAGTTAAATAAAATCCCAGAGAAAGAACTTAAGGATTATAATAATCATCATTTTAAAAACACAAAGAGCTGAGCCAAAAAAGAAAGGCGATCAGCCAGTTGGTAGTGGCACATGCCTTTAATCCCAGCAGGGTCTCTGAGTTCAAGGCCAGCCTGATCTACAGAGTTAGTTCCAGGACAGCCAGAACTACACAGAGAAATCCTGTCTCAAAGGTAGAGACAGAGAGAGAGAGAGAGAGAGAGAGAGAGAGACAGAGACAGAGAGAGAGAGACAGAGAGACAGAGAGACAGAGAGAGAAAGGGGCTGGGGGAATGGCTCAGTGGTTAAAAGCACTGACTGTTCTTCCAAAGGATCTAGATTCAATTCCCAGCCCCGTCATGAGAGCTAATAACTGTAACTCCAAGAACTGACAACCTCACATAGACTTAGATGCAAACAAAACACCAAAGTATGTAAAATAAAAATAATAATTATTAAAAATATAAATATCAAAGAAAATTGTTTCTTGGTCTTTTGGTCAAGTTTGACTGTAGAAATACTGAAGAAAAAACAATCTGAAATATTAGAAGTGAAAAACATAGTAAGCCAAATAACAAACTCTAGGGAAAACCTCAACAATATGAAGAGAAGGAAAAAAATATCTGAGCTTGAATACAAGGTAGAACAATTGGTACAATCCAACCAGGACAAAAGATGAAATACTGGGTACCAGTGGGGGTTTCAAGGTATGCATGACACTTTGAAAAGACCAACTCTAATGTGCCAAAGGAGAAGGAGCAGAAGCTGGGTGTGGTGGCTCACTTTTTTAATCCCAGCATTTAGGAGAGAGAGGCAGGTAGCTCTGAGTTCCGGACATCCAAGGGCTACATAGTGAGACTCTGTCTGAAAAAGAAAAAAAAAAAAGACATGAAATTGGGAAGGGGGCCTAATATTTTGGGACTCCAAGAGGAGAGGGCTGAGGGAAGAAGGGAGTGGTGGATATGCTCAAAATGTCTTGTATATATGAATGAAATTCTCAAATTAAATTTCTTTTAAAAAACATCAAACAAACAAGGGGCTGGAGTGACAGCTCTTTGTATAAAATGTTTGCTCTTCAGAACTCACATAAAAAGCTATTGGTGATGGTGTATGTGCTGTGATCTCAGTGTGGGGAGGCAAGGATAGCTGGATCTGTAATTCACTGCTTAGCCAGCCTCATATACTTGGTGAGCTCTAGGCCAGTAAAAAACCCTGTCTCGGGCTGGAGAGATGGTTCAGAGGTTAAGAGCAGTGACTACTCTTCCTAGAGGTCCTGAGTTCAATTCCCAGCAACCACATGGTAGCTCAAAACCATCTATAAAGAGATCTGGTGCCTTCTTCTGGTGTAGAGGCAGAACACTGTATACATAGTAAATAAATAAATCTTTAAAAAAAGAAATCCTGTCTCCAAAAAAAAAATGTTTCATAGGCTAGCCTTGAATCTCCATCCTCCTGCTCAACCTTTGGAACAGGTGATATTATAGTGTGTGTGTGTGTGTGTGTGTGTGTGTGTGTGTGTGTGTGTGTGTATGTTGTTGTTTTCTGCTTTTTGAGATATTGTTATGTATCCCTGGCTGGTCTGGAAGTCAATATATAGGCCAGGATAGCCTCAAACTTGGACTAATTAAATCTTCCTGCCTTTACCTCTAGAGAGCTGAGATTAAAGGCATGCTTCACCACAGCTGGCTAGTACATTTACCTAGGAGACAAGTGCTAGTAGTCTCAGGGTCAGGCACAGAGTGATTAAGTAACCCATCTAGTGGACTGTTTGAACTTCAAACATGATTTGAACTTGATCAAATTCAAAATCTGAGCTATGCCAATTACAACTGAGGCTAAATCAACATAAAGCATGCTTTAATTTTCTTGCGTGTATTTGCGTATGATGTGTGAGTGCATGCATGTATTCCACCACCCTACACAGAAGTCAGAGGACAACTTTATTATTGTTTTTCCAAGACAGGGTTTCTCTGTATAGTCCTGGCTGGCCTGGAACCCACTCTGTAGACCAGGATGGCCTCAAACTCACAGAGATCTGCCTGCCTCTGCCTCCTGAGTTCAGTGCCCAGCTTGAGGACAACTTTCTTAATGTTGGCTCTCCTTCCATTCTCAGACCCCCAGGGATCCAACTCAGGTGTTTAGGCTTGTCTGGCTAGAGCTTACTCCTTAAGCCATCTTCCTGGCTCAATTGGGGAAGACATGCTTAATGCTGTTACAAAAAGGCAAAAAGACCTTGACATGGCCAGAATGAAATTTCACTAACAGAAATCTAAGCAGGGTTTGCTTTTCCAGTTTTTTTTTTCTTTTGAGACCTCCCCCTTTTCTGATTTCCTGTTTTCGGTCGGGTCTTATAAAACTCAGCAGGCCCTGAACTCACAACCTTCCTGCCTCCACCTCCCCAAGGTTGGGCTCACTGGTGTGTGCCACTACCCCTGGCATGGGTTATAACCTTCTGTTCATCCAATATGGAAATGCTATGATCAATAACCTGACATCAGGCCAGGCGTTGGTGTCGCACGCCTTTAATCCCAGCACTCGGGAGGCAGAGGCAGGTGGATCTCTGTGAGTTCGAGGCCAGCCTGGTCTACAAAGTGAGTTCCAGGACAGCCTCCAAAGCCACAGAGAAACCCTGTCTCGAAAAAAAAAAAAAAAACCCAAAAAATAAATAACCTGACATCAGTGTCTTGGTTATTTTTTCACAATAGTCATTCATTTAACAAGTGTCTGATCATTCATTAAAGACTAGACATGGTATTAAGGCAGGCAAAACAAAGGTATTGTATTAAAATTTGATCCTAGCCAGGCAGTGGTGGCACACACCTGTGGTCCCAGCACTCAGGAGGCAGAGGCAGGAGGATCTCTGTGAGTTCGAGGCCAGCCTAGTCTACGGAGTAAGTTCCAGGACAGCCAGGGCTATACAGAGAAACCCTGTCTTAAATGTCCCACCCCAAAATAAAGAAAAGATTGATCCTAGTGGGGATGGAGGAAATACGTTGGGAGGGCACGGCGGGAGCCGAGCAATGTGGAATGGCAGGAAGCGGACTGTGGGAAAACAACGATCTACAGCAGGCAAGACCTTCAAGTCATAGAGGTGTTGCATTTGAGAGCCTGTGGTGGCCTGGTTGTCATCCGACTGTAGTCCTCCTAAAGCATTAGTTCCACGTGTGCCAAGTCGAATCACCCAGGGTAGGCGTTATTCAGTAACCTATTTGATGGTCACCTCACCCTAGGTCATGCCTTTCCTAAGCCACCTGATTTATCAGGGCCCTCTGGCTCGCAGTCACCTGAGGGCCACGCCTCCCCGGCCAGACAAGCCAGCACGTTACGCTTTGTTCCCAGAAGCAGGTTTTCAAAACGCTGTTCCCTCTCGGCTCCAGCTGTTTTCTCGCCAAGTGCGGGAGGCCCGGCGGCCGCGGCAGCAGTGGCCTGACTGCGGCTCTGCGGCCCAGGAAGGGCCTGATCCACTGCCTCCTCAATCTCCTCCCGGAACGCGGGAGCCAGCACGAGAGGCTCACGGCGGGACCCTTGCGATTGCACTCCTGATTGGCTGCGCGGAGAGACGTCAAAGGGCGGGCCCCGTGGTGGGGGGTAGCGCCCGGCTCCACGCGTGCGCAGACAGAGTGCGCTGGACCAAGGGGGAGGTGCCCGGCCGCTTCTCCCGCGTCCGCCATTTTGTTGCTGTGGCTATTGGGAACGGGCTGGGCGCAACGGCCCGGGAGGCGCGACTCTTGCTGGGGAAGGCTGCTTCGTGTGACGGCGAGGGTCGGTGCTGGCTCTTGAGGCTGCGGAGCCGGCGGATTCCAGGACAGAAGTGACTGGAGCCACCCCTGGGCGCCGACAGCTGAGAAGCCCGAGGCGGCCTCTGCTACCGCTCCGCTTCGCCCACCTCGACCCCAGGGCTTTGCCCAGTGTTCCCGGGTCGGCTGTTTCCGTGAGGCGGCCCGGTGCAGGCGGGCGGTGGCGGAGGATGCTGCGAGGCCCGGAGCCGAGAGGAAGGTCCTGACCCAGCCCTTTGATTGCTCCTCGAGGTCTTCCGAGAGGCCCATCCTCGGCCCCCAAGCCGACAGCGGGTAAAGGCTTCACGAGCAGGCGAGAGCAGCAGACGCCGCCCATCCCCGGACCCAACACCATGTCGTCCGCCAGGTTTGATTCTGCAGACCGCTCTGCCTGGTACATGGGACCAGTGTCTCGCCAGGAGGCTCAGACCCGTCTCCAGGGCCAGCGCCACGGCATGTTCCTAGTCCGGGACTCCTCTACCTGCCCCGGGGACTATGTTCTGTCCGTGTCCGAGAACTCGCGTGTCTCGCACTACATCATCAACTCCCTGCCCAACCGCCGCTTTAAGATCGGGGACCAGGAGTTTGATCATTTGCCGGCTTTGCTGGAGTTCTACAAGATCCACTACCTGGATACTACCACCTTAATCGAACCAGCGCCCAGGTACGCGAGCTCCCGCTGCCCTGCTCGGGCTCGGAACCTGACCCGATGCGGAGGGTCGGTCAGAGATTGAATTTTGGGGTAGGGGGAGTTGAACTTTTTTTGCCTCATTCTAAACCAGAAGATATTCGAATTGGAAGGCCAATGTCAGGATCTGGGTCATTGGTTAAAAGGATGCATTTGTGATTGTATTGTTCAAATGCACCCACCGACACACATACACAGTTTTTTTTTTACTTTAGCTGACTAATACTAATGAATAATAATAATTATTATTTAAATTTTTGGTTTTTCGAGACTGGGTTTCACTTTGAAATAATCTTGGCTGTCCTGGAACTCACGCTGTAGACCAGGCTGGCCTCGAACTCAGACTCTGCCTCCCGAGTGCTGGGGCTAAAGGTGTGTGCTACCACCGTCTGGCTGCAGAATTCTTTTAAAAAACCTTAAAAAGTATATAGACCTCCTTGAGATTCTGAAGAGAGCCATGGTTCTCTTCCTTGAAGATTCATGTAGTTTGCACACCATTTAACGTTTTGGAACCCCTGCATCTGAATAGCTAACTGCAACCTTTGGAAAAATCGTTAAAAATGAATCGAAAACGTAGAAATTTCAGAATCTGATGCCGAATTTGAAGTAGCCCTCCCTCCCTTTCTTAAACTAGAATTACAAAAGAAAGAGATTGAGATTATATTTGAGGAAATTTGTACCATCTCTCCCTGGTGAGAAGTATATATACCTTAATTCTACATTAATTCAGTTTTAGATTTTGGGGGAGGGTAATTAAATTTAATGGTTTAACATATACTTTAAAGAAACTGAAGTAGAGCTGCATGAGAGATACACACCCCTAACCTATGGAAAAGAGGACCTTGAGTTCCAAGCTTAAGGGCTATAGCAAGACCCTGTCTTAAAGAAGAAGAAAAGATGCTGATCTCCAAGTGTTTTGAGTAAAATGCATTATTTTGTAATTTGTTTTCATTTCCCCGAATGAATATCGAATTATACCAAATGATACCAAATGTGAGTTGAAAAAGTAGACTTCAAAAGGTATTTCACTGCCTGGTCTATTTCCAAGCCATTTTCTAAAAAGGTCTGGGGATTGATTTAGACTTCTCAGGGTGAGCTGACTTCATAGAATTGCTAATGAGGTAATTTGCTCTGAACTTTGAAGATGAAAAGGTGCTATACTTAATTAAGGACACCTACTAAAAGTAAAAGGGTTTCTTTTTTAGGATAGAAGAAATAATGGTACAAAGAGTGTAAAGTTAACTGCCAAAATCAATGGAGTTTAAAAAACTGTAGAGAAGGGGCTAGGCTCGATGGCTTAGTGAATGAAAGTGTTTGCAACAAAAGCTTGATGAGGTGTTACCATACACTTGGGAAGCAGAGGCAGGCAGATCTCTGAGTTCGAGACTAGCCTGGTCTACAAGACCTAGTTCCAGGACAGCCTCCAAAGCCACAGAGAAACCCTGTCTCAAAACCCATCCCTCACCCCCCCAAAAAAAAGCTTCACCGCCTGAGTTTTATTCCCCCAAAGCCACATAAAGGTGGAAAGAGAGAACAGACTCCACAAAGTTATCCTTCCTTTAGCCTAAGTATGTGCACCATGGCAAGTGAGTATCCATACACACATCAATAATTAAAAAAAAAAAGTAAAACATAGAAAGTGACTGCAAATAATAATCTGTTATAGAAATGAGGATACTAAGAACTCTGAAACACAAAGGTGCTAGTAGATGCTGTCAGCTTCATTAATTTCAGTGTAGCTTGGACAAACTTAGTAAGTATAATGTTTGGTAATATATTTAAGTAAATTTCTTCTCTAATTTGTGAAAGTGGATTATATTATTGACCTCAGGCCTTTATTAGAACATGCAACAATGTAACAGGTGTTAGAGAAAGTCTAAGTTAATTATTAGATTCCCTTCAAGGAGGAAAAATGTGTACTGGAGTGGCTTCCTGTTATCTACAAAATCTAATTCTGCTTTGTGTGTCTTCCCAGGTACCAATTTTCTGTATTACCAATGTAATTTCCTGAAATTTTCCTTAGCTCTGCTTGACACACATTCATATCTTTTTTTTTTTTTCCTTACTTTTTCAAGACAGTTTCTCTTTGTAGGTCTGGAGCCTGTCCTGAACTAGTTCTTGTAGACCAGGCTGGTCTTGAACTCACAGAGATCCATCTGCCTCTGTCTCCGCCTCCTAAGTGCTGGGCTTAAAGACATGTGCCACCACTGCACAGCCCACATTCGTATCTTTTCTGTCATGCTTAGTTTCCAAATGAAAGCAATAACCAAGTCATTATTCCTAACATAACTACCTTTTTACAATCACAAAGGCTTTATAAATTTTAGAATAGATGGTAATGTCTCTTGAGTTATATTCTTTTAGTATCTCAAAACTTAAATATGAAAACTACTGATATTCTCTTGATGTTATATTACATGGTAAATCGAGGGAAAGCCACAAATACCTGTACAAACACATACTTAACAAAATATGATAGAAACACTTGTGTTGATTGTAATCTTTGTCACTACAACTGGTCACATGGCCTTAGCTGGTATTTATAACTACCTTCCTCCCTTACCCAGTCTGTATTTCTCCATCCTCAGCAAGCATCTCAACAGGTCTTGGCTTTTCCTGGAGGAGTGACCCATACATACCTTCATTCCTGATGGGTCTGTGCCCTTTGTCATCCTGTCTGGATTAGGCTGTTGTAATTTCCCATTGACTTTAATCACAGGACATGGTAGTACCAGGAGACGCCCTAAAGGATCTCCTGCACTACAGACATAATCTGTCTTCTCCATTGGGAAGAAGCAATCAGTTTCCCCTGGGTAATCTGGAGCTGTCACCCTCTTAATATTGGTATGTCTTTCTTAGCTGTTGACTTAAGGGTATCAGAAGTCCATAGTGGCCAGGTGGAAGTCTGACTCCAATCCAGTGCGATGTCTGTTGTGTCTCCTGGCAAGAGTGCTTCTCCATCTTAAACCAAAATTTCCAGGCCAGTAGAACTTAAGGTTGTAGGAACAGGTAGAAAAATGTTCCTGGTGGATTGCTGGGGGTAATAGTGAGTGGAACCATTTCCTCTTCCACCACTTGAGTCCTGGACCCGTGAATACTGGCAATAGGAGAAACTGTACCATATATTGGATGCTGATTCAAAACATATACTGCCTTAAGGAGAATCAACCCCAGCTTTTCAGGCTGCTGCCACCTAAGTGTTGTATCTGTTTTCAAAAGGCCATTCCATCTTTCTGTCAGCCCAGAGGCTTCAGGATAGTGGGAACTATTGTAAGACTAGTGGATTCCATGATCATGGGCTCACTGTTGTATTTCTCTGGATGTGAAGTGAGTTCTTTGGTCAGAAGCACTACCGTGTGGAATACCATGTTGGTGGGTCAGGCATTCTGTCAGTCCATGGGTGGTGGTTTTGACCGAAGCATTATGTGCAGGAAAGGGAAATCCGCGACCAGAATTAGTACCTACTCCAGCTTATTACAGTGCTTGTCCTTTCCATAGACAATGGCCAGTATAGTCAACTGGCCACCAGGTTGCTACCTGGTCACCCTGCAGAATGGTTCCATATCTAGGGCTCAGTGTTGGTCTCTGCTGCTGGCAGATCTGGCACTCAACAGGAGCTATAGACAGAACAGCCTTGGAGAGTGGAAGTTCATGTTGTTGAGCCCATGCATAACCCTCAACTCTGCTACCATGACCATTTGGTTTGTGGGCCAGTTAGACTGGGGAAGGAGGCTGGCTGTCCACAGAATGGGTCATCTTACCTCCTTGTCTCCTCAGCAGAAGTCACCCTTTGATCAGCATTTAGATGGGAAACGTATCTTCACATCCTTTGCCTATTTGGAGAGATCTGTACATATCTTCCCCAGATGTCTTTCTCATCAATTTTCCAACCACGATCTTTCCAAACCCCTGATCATCCAGACAGTCTGTAGGCTACAGCCGATGAATTGGTGAACAATCACACATCTGTATGACCATGTGTACTGCCTGAAGTTCTGCCCACTGTGAAGATTTCCCTTTGCTGGTGTCTTTCAGAGTTGTCTCTGAAAGGGGTTAATAGTACTGCAGCTCTCCACTTCAGGTGGTACTTACATAGTGTTCAATCCAGGAAGCTGGATGTCTCAGCTGGTCTTTGGTATACTCCAGAATCCCAAAGTATTAGACTCTACGCCAGTGAAGAAATGGACTTGCCAGCAAGAGTGAGAACATGCAGGCAAAGAATAAGCTTCTTTCTTCCATGTCCTACTTATAGGCTGCCACCAGAAGGTGTGGCTAGATTAAAGTAGTAAAGTGGGTCCTCCCACTTCAAATGATTTTAAGAATCATTTGAAAAGAATTTTCACAGGTGTATCCATCTGCTTGGGTTATAAATTTCAGATGTAGTCAAGTAAAGCCATCTTACCTTGCTTTAAAAGTTAGAATCTATTTTTATCTATTTTCAACAACTTTATACATGTAAACAATGTACCTTGATCATGTCTGCCCCTCCAACCCTCCACCATTCCCTTGAGTTACTCCCAACACTTCCCCCTTCCCTCCCCATGTCTTCTCTTTTGTTTTGCTGCATTGGAATACTGCTCATTGTTGACTTGATTATGTGCAGGAGACCTCAGCTGCTGAGTTCATGAGTGTGTTGGCCATGCCATTCCCAGAAGAGAGCATTTCACAGCACCCTGCTCCATTGTCCAGCTCTGGTATTCTTCTATGACCCCTCTTCCATGGTATTTCCTGAGACTTATTGGGAAGGGTTTGGTTTTATGTCCTACTTAGGACTGAGCACTCAGTAGACACTTATTCTCTGTACTTTGACCAGTTCTGAGTCTCTACATTAACTGCTAGCTACTGCAGAGAGAAACTTCTGGCCATTGTCGAGGGCAGCACTAAGCTATCTATATAAACATAAAATATTTAGAAAGCAGTTTGACAACACACCCTTTTAGCAAGACAGCAAGTAGTAGATCTTCCTAGGGCCTATG